TGAGGCTCACTAGTCCGGCTTTGCACTGGAGGGGGTTCCACAGCTCCAGGAAGTACACACAGGAGCCGCACCTCCCACAGTCCTGTGACCCACTCTGGTGCAAAGCCAGACTAGCGAACCACTTGGGGCTGAGCCAGGTCCTCACCCCTTCACACAGGCACAGGGGGCAGAGGCGGGCACCGGCCCTGGGGCTTGGCCCATACTGACCGGACTCGGTGCAGCACGTGGATCCTGCGTACAGCACCAGGTCCTGCCGCCTGGCCCAGCCCTTCCTATAGTGGCAGGACCCAGCCCAGCATGCGGTGACTGTGTAGAGCCGAGCTGGGTTGCGCCGGCCCTGAGGCTGCTCGTGCCACCCAGCTGCCTGGTGGCACGAGTAGCCCCAAAGCCGGCAGGACCCAGCTTAGCTCCACACAGTCACCGCACGCTGGGCTGGGCCAGGGAACATGAGCCGCCTGGGGCCAGCAGGATGCAGCTTGGCTCCACGTGGTCCTAGTGTGCTGGGCTGGGCCTGGGTGGCTTGTACTCCCGGGGTGCCTGGGATCCTAGGCAGGGGAGGCTGGGACCTGTGGGGAATAGGGGCTGTGGCCTTCCAGGGTGGAGCTGGGACCCTGGTGGGGGGGGGCATTCACCCCTCCTGAGCAGCCCCCACACAAGGTTCCCCACAACCACAGTGCTCCCAGCAATTGCCCCACTCCTACTCACAGACCAACCCACACCCCTCCACATCCACCCACCTGCCTTCCGCCACATCCTTTGTCTACAAACACCATATCCCCCCCATCACACACCCATCACGTATGAAGAAAACCAAAAGCACACATCAACACATATAGGTATTTAGAATTTATTTTTTCATGATGATAGAGACAGTGGTAGGCTTCCAAATTGCTTTAACATTGTAAATATACCAATAAAGCATTACCCAATTTATCACTGTCTCTCTCTCTCTGGGTGTGTAGGTGTGTAGAGTGTTGGGGGTTTTTTTTGTTTTAAATGTGGAAGAACATGTATTTTGGGGTATTTTTAAAAGTGGATTTGGGATGCTGCTGCAGCAGTCCAGCTGGCACAAGGGGTAGTGTCCCCAAGTATCAGTTGGCTAGGCCCCAGAAGCTCCAGAGAGCAAGTAGCCCCGAGCTGCTTGCCACGGCAGCTTTTGTATGGATGGGGCCAGGACAGGGAAGCTTTTTATACTGCTGGGGACAGCACAAGTGCTGGCTCCAGGCTCTAGCTCCCCCTGGCTGAAGATCTGGGAGGAGCCAGGCAGGGTTATTTTGCCCCAAGTGGCACAATTTGCTCCACACCAAAATGCATGTCCAAACACGTGCGCCAAGGCAAAAAGCCCCAGTTCAAATTTGCACCACTTCTATTTGAGCTGCTGCAAGCACACGTGCTTGCATGTGTGGATGTGCCCATATTGTGCAAGCCACTCAGGTCAGTTGTCATCTTTCTTGCATGAACTCATAGCAGGTCTGGCCTTAATTCAGCACCTGAAGTCCTGCCAACTCTCATGAACAGTGAAGGAGGGACACAGAGATCAATCACATTTCACATCACACAGTACCATTTATTTTAGGACAATAGCATGACAAGAAAAAAAAAAAGCATCCTCAAATGATAAGCAATCCACACATGCTAGCTCATCTAATCTAGATGTTAATCATCAACACAAGGCACTAACAGGTACAAATATAGTTCAGTTGGTTCATCAATTCAGTCTGTAGCTCTATATGTGGCCCTAGATCCTAGGTTAGGATGTGAAGAAATCCCTCTCTCTCTGCCCTGCCTTGGGACATCCCACCCCTCCTCTTTCAAATTGTGTGCTATTAGGTTTCAACCTTGTCACCTAGGCAACTGAGTGGGTGGGTGGCTCTGTGTAGTAACCCCCCTACACAGGGCTGCTACTTAATATCCTTCACCACTTTTGTCTGCTTTCTTGAACCAGGCAGAAGGCACGATAGATTTGCACCTCAGAGACTAACTAAATATGTTCTTGAACCAGAACAAAGCACTCTGTGTAATGTCCATTATATGGTAAAGCTTTCCTCAGGCTTTTTCACCTGCCCAGTAATTTGCATCAGTCACCTCCCAGTGAACCAGGAGAACCATGCTACATAACGCTTACAGTATTGCTTCAGAAGTGTTCCTGAAGAACCTGTGTCTCCATAGAATGTATCACATGTCAGTACAATAGTCCTTGAAGGCCTCAGGGTTTCTGAGATATCACATCTGTCACAGCTGGATAATGGAAGTGAAGTTATACAGCTTGTGTGGGGGGCAATTTTTAATTTCATAGTACTGAGACTGAAGTCATGCTTGATCAATAGGCTGATAATATAGGGTATTGTTTCCCATCCTTCTTTCTCCCTCAACTTCCACATTCTTATAGTCTTTTATCAAAGTTCAAATCTTGTTAAGTGTTGGTAAATAAAGGTCTTAATATTTAGTATGCATATATCTCAATTTGATATTCAATTACTGAAAATTAAAACAAAGTACAATTTCCTGTAAAATGTCCAGAGCTTTTGGATTGATTTAAACTATTTTCCATTCTGGTATAATATTCTATTGGTAGCAAAGTGAAAATACCCATTTTATAGAACATAATTATCTTTACAAACTTACTGAATTTTAAATTCACCTACAAAATGAAGACACGGATATTTGCTATCATTTTGGCTGAAATAATTTGAAAAGAAAGAGAAAAATATAGATCTGCAAAAAAGAATCTATCCAGGTCTAGAGCAAGAAGTTGTAATATGCATTATAAAGGACCTTATTACTGGTATCACACTGAAACACTTTCCCACCATCACTAATAATGTTAGTGTAATTGCTTGAACATGACTTCATAATTGCAACATACATAAAAACATTGATTTACAATTTAGTAAATTTTTGCAATCTTCAGTTGTCTAAATTATTCAGTTTTCAGAAACAGGTTGTATTCTAAATATGTATAAAACACTAATGTAAAATACGAAACCTTTGAATATGAGCTATTAAGTTGTACTGTGGTTACTGTATGGATCTGCATTTCAAGTAGGTTATTTTATTCCGACTTCATTAACAGGTTTTGAAAAGAGAGTGATGATGGGTAAGTTAGAATGTTCTACCTGAAACATTCCAAGGTACTCATCTACCAAGGAGTCATGCCTTCATTGTATTTTTATGCAATATGTACTTAGAGACATTACAGGTTTGATCCTGTTCCCATCAAAATTAACAGCAAAACTCTAGCTCTTTATAAACACACAGCCTCTTATATACACAGGTTGTCATTCAGCATGTGGTTGTGGGAAAAACAAGGTACCTTGGAAGTTAGTAATGGGGTAAGATAAGGAATAACTTCCCCTATACAGTCATGATCTAGCAAAACCACATAAGCGCGCACACACACATCACTGTTAGGCATGTGGAGCTCTCTATCCAATTTCCAGTGAACAAATGTTCATAAAACAAATCATAACTGAGGCCTTCAGTCTTTCTGCTGATCTCAGCAGGGAGACCAGGGGAGGAATGATGTTTTCTCACCTTTAAGAAGTTCTGCTATCATTGGAGCACAAAGGGTCCCTGGCGCCCGGGGGCCAACGCCTCCATTTGCGCCTCCCCCTGGGATGATCAAGCAGGGGGTGGG